TCTCTCTCTTTCTGTCTCTGTCTCTCTCTCTTTCTGTCTCTGTCTATCTCTCTTTCTGTCTCTGTCTCTCTCTTTCTTTATGTCTCTGTCTCTCTCTCCCTTTCTGTCTCTGTCTCTCTCTCTTTCTGTCTGTGTGTGTATGTGTGTGTGTGTGCGCACGTGTGTGTAAGCAAATGGCCTCCACTTTCTCCTGCAAAGCAGCTGGTAGGTTCAAACTGTTGACCTTTCAGTTACCAGCCTACCACTTAACCTGCCACCCCACCAAGGCTCCTCAAAGCAAGCCTGTGAACAACAGATGTGAGCCCTGCCCTGCCCTGCGCCGTCCTCACCATCTCTGACACATTCGGGCCATTGTCACGGTCACCGTGTCAGTCCGTCTTGTTGAGGGTCTTCCTCTCTTGTGCTGACCCTCCACCTTCCCGAGCATGATGTCTTCTTCCAAGGACCGGACCCTCTTGCAAACAAGCTCTAAGTAAATGAGACGGAGGAGTCCCACCATCCTGCCTCTGGGGAGCATGCTCATTGCACCTTCTTCCAATCCTCCCCGACAGACCTGTCTGTTCCTCCAGCCGCCCGTGGGACAGTCAGGACTCTTCTCCAATACCACAGCTCAAAGGCATCGGTCTCTTTACTATTAAAGGATACACCAGGCTCACTAGTGTCAAGCTGATTCGGATTCACAGAGACCCTCCACTGGGTTTCCAAGACTAAATCTTCCTGGAGGAGATGGTCCATATTCCTCCTACAAACCGGCTAGTGGATTTGAACCACTGACCTCCTGGTTCGCTGTCCAACACATTACACGCCAAGCCTCTGTTCTTACAGTTATGTACCGTCGAGTTGGAACCAACCCACGCTGACCCTCCGTCCAGTGGGTTTTCAGCAGCAGTAAATTGCATGGGAGGAAACGGCTCCCCTTTCTCCTGCAGAGAAGCTGGTGGATGCAAACTATGTACCTTCGGGATGGCAGCACAGCTTCCTGCCAGGAGGCTGCCGGGCTCTTTAGAGGATAGATATTCAGTTATCAGATCAGTATGCCGGAGCTGTGCTGCACTGCACACCTGGACTTCTCACCACCTGCCTCTGACATCACTGTTGTGGAGACTCTGACCCACAGCACCGCATGTGTGTAGAGTAGAACAGAGCTCCATGGAGTTTCCAGGGCATTAACTTCAGGAGCAGATGGCCAGGCCTTGCTTCCACGGCACCGCTGGGTGAACTCCAACCTCCAGCCTTTCCACTAAGTCCAGTGCTTAGCCATATGAGGTACGCACAGGCGCCCACAGGCTTTATAATAGCTTGGCTCTACTCTGAGCACAGCTTTAGGTCCATGGAAAAATCATGCCGAGTGCACGAGTTCCATGCACCCTTTCTCTCTGTACACTTTCACCTTTCACACCATCCACAGTGGCCGCCTTCAATCAGCACCTTCGGCACTGGGAAAATGCGCTGTCAAGGACTGTTCCTGAGTGCTAAAGAGCAACAATGTCAGCGTAAAGACTAAGGTGCACCTGATCCAGGCCATGGTCTTCTCAATTGCTTGCTAGGCATCTAAGAGCTGCACAGCGCACAGTGACGAAAGATGCCAAAAGAACTGATTCCCTTGAGCTGTGGTGCTAGAGAAGAGCACTGAACCATGGGCTGCCAAGAGAACAAACAGCTCTGCCCTGTTCGAGGCGAGGGTACAACCAGGCTGCTCCCTGGAGGAAAAGATTTTGAAACTCTGTCTCACAGGCTTTGGGCATGTTGTTAGGAGGGGCTAATCCTTGGAGAAGGACATCATGCTTGGGGAGGTAAAGGATCAACACAGGAGAGGAAGACCCTGAATGAGACGAATTGATCTAGTGACTGGAAATGGGACCAGGTGTGTCAGGTAAGGCGGGTTCAGGATAGGGCAAGCCTTTGTTTACAGAGTTGCTATGAGTGATAGTTGACTCAACAGCACATAACAACAATTATTACAGGTAAAATTCACCATCTTGTACAACTGTTGTATCACTTGTTTCCAAAACATTTTCATCTCCCAGATGGAAAAGCTGCATCTGTTAGGAAGTGCTCCTGTTCAGTCCTCCTCCACCCTACCTGCGAGACTCACGAATCAATCTTTCTTCTACCCCTGGGACTCACGAATCAATCTCTCTTCTACTGCTGGGACACACGAATCAATCTCTCTTCTACCCCTGGGACTCATGACTCAATCTCTCTTCTGTGTGCATTTGCCTCTTGTAGATACCACAGATACCAAGAAGGAGCTCTGACGGCCTAGTGGCAAGGAGCTGCACTACAATCCCAATGGCATACAGTTCAAATCCACTAGCTGCTCCAAGATAGGCAATCTCCTCCCCATGCGATTCAACTGCCTCTGAAAACCCGCTGGAGGATCAGCTACTGGTCAGCTCCGACTCAACAACAGACACCAGGAGCCGTGGTGCATAGTGTGTAGCATGCTGGACTGCCAAGTAAAGTGTCAGAGCTTCAGGCCCATCGTGTGCTCTGAGGGAGCAGGATGGACAGTCCCCTCCTGGAAAGATCTACAGCCTCAGAAAGCCGGGGGGTGGGGGGACCAGGAGTCAGAAGCACTTGATTTGGTTGCTGGGGGTTTAGTTCTGATACTGTCAAACCTACAAAAGGCAAAACCTGTGCTCGGTGGAAACCTGTCCCAGGAGGAAAACAAAAATATTTTCCACTAAAACCAGTCATTGAAAAGTGGGGAGACCATGGCTTTGACAAGGTGGAGAGAAACGTCCAAGAAAAACAAGGAGCCCATGGAGAGCTGGCTCTTGGGGCTTCCACCATGTTTAACAGAAGTGGAGTCGTACAACACGCAACCCCTCTGCCTGCCGCCTTCACCCAGCACCCTGTTCCCACGCCTCCCCCTGGCCGGATGGTATCCCACCGTGCGGAGGGAACGCAGTTTTCTTCCATTCACCTGCTGATGGGCACTTAGTCCACCTTCTAGCAACGGTGAATAATGCTGCTGTGAACAGGGCGTGATTATGTTTAATTGGAAAAGATATGGAGGGGTGGGGGAGGGAAGGGACCCCAATTCTTTCCTCTTGAGTAGAGTCACCTGGAAATTATATTTAGGGATCCTGAAAGACAGGAACAGGTGAGATGTAAACATGGCATGAGACGAGGGGAGGGATTCTCCACTTTCCAAATTCAAGCCACACCTGCCACTGTGGGCCGGTTCTCACTGACAAAGGCCCGACAGAACAGAGAAGAGCCGCTCACAGGCTTTCCGAGACTATAATGGTAGCCTAGTGGCTAAAGAGTTGTGCTGCCACAGCAAAGGCAAGAGGTTCAAATCCACCAGCTGCTCCACAGGAGACGATCTGGTGGAGGGTCGGCTAGGAGTCAGCTATGACTCAACAACCTTTACGGATGCAGACTGCCTCACTGATCGAGTGCACGGCGGCTGGTGGCTTTGATCCAACAACATCTGAGTTTGCAGTAAAGTGCTTAAGCACGGGGCCTCCAGGATTCCTACTCTCCTGCCACAGGGCAGTGATGATTAAGGATGACAGAGCCCGTGGAAGGACAAGAGCGGGGTAAGTGATGCACCTTCTGTGCCGGGCACCGCGGCTGTGTTTCTTAGCCTTTAACACCAGCGTCATCCAAGCGCCATGCCCCTGCAGTATGGCTATTCTGGGCAGCAGAGGGAAGCCAGGCTGCAGCCAGCAGCCAGGGACAGGCCACACAGGGCACGTCCAGAGCGCTTCCAGGCCCTGAGGACAGAGCCCAGGCACGCACCTTCTGGTCGAAGCTGTCTGGCGTCAGGTAGAAGTTGTGGAGCGGGACAAAGTAGTCTTCCAGAAGGCCCATGAGCAGAACCAGGTACACGCCATCTGCAAACTGAAGGGAGAAACTTGGTCAGCTTTGTGGACAGTGCAGGGAGTCAGCAGGTCAGTCAGTGCAGGAAGCCGGAAGGTCAGTGCAGGGAGTCAGTGCAGGGAGCTGGCAGGTCAGTGCAGGGAGCCGGCAGGTCAGTGCAGGGAGTCAGTGCAGGGAGTGGGAAGGTCAGTGCAGGGAGCCAGCAGGTCAGTCAGTGCAGGGAGTCAGTGCAAGGAGTCGGCAGGTCAGTGCCGGGAGTCAGTGCAGGGAGCCAGCAGTATGGTATCAGTCAGTGTAAGGAGTTGGCAGGTCAGTGCCGAGAGTCAGTGCAGGGAGCTGGCAGATCAGGTCAGTGCCAGGAGCCGGCAGGTCAGTGCAGGGAGCCAGCAGGTCAGTGCCAGGAGCCGGCAGGTCAGTGCCGGGAGGCAGTAGGTGCTCGGCAACCCCTCAGGGGAAGAGAGAGTTGTAAGACCTAACAGTCCATCACTCCGTTCACCCTGGCTGGAAACTAGGAACCCAGAGGTGAAGGGGCAGGTGCCAAATGCCAGGCTGGGGTTTTGGGGAGTCTCTTTGGACCTGGCTCCTCTTCAGTAAAGAGCAGTTTGTTAAAAGAAGAGAACAAGTACACATATACATGCAAATGCGCGCACACACACACACACACACACACACACACACACACACACACACGAATATGACCGGCACATGTATCAGCATACATGCACCTGTGTGTAAACATACGTGCACATGCTCAAGTACACATGTGAACACGCCCCTCTGATTCTCGTGGATAAAGACAGTCACAGTGTCTGGTCTCCTCGTTGCCACGGACCCCCTTCACCCACGGACCCTGCAGGACCAAGTGGAGCTAAGTGTCTTATCCTCCTCCCGTGGAACAGATACTGGGTTCGAACCGACAACCTTTTGGCTAACAGTCAACTGACTCACCATTACTTTACCAGCGTTCCTTGGAATGACCCATTTTTGTGTAAACCCATCCAAATACCTTTGCAACGAAAGAAATTCTCTGCATTGCTGCAGTCGGCGACCTTCTTTCGTGGACCCACAGCTAAAAATACAGTTAAGACCTCTGTGGAATGTGTGGATTGAGATTCAAGCGCAGCACCCCGTCAGCAAACTTCAAGAGCAGTTGGACCCCGCCCTAAGATGAGCTGGCCGTGAGTACGGTCCTTGGTCCCACCCAGGAGCGAGGCAGGAGAAGGGGTTCTCCCACTGGCCAGGGACCCGGGGGCCACACCTGCCCACGCCTTTGAAGTAGCCCTGCTGGTGATCTCACAATCTCATCGCTGACAGTTCACCCAGAGAGGTGAAGAGGCCGTAAGGGGCCGTGTGCACACACTCCCTGTACCGCTGGTTACACGAGCAGAGAGATGTCCGCTAGTAACGGACCAGGGTAACCAAGCAGAGCGCAGCTGGACAGCTGGAGGCTGGTTCCCTCAGCTCAGCCCTGGGGGTTCAGGGTAGAACTGGGCTTCATATGTTTCAGGGTTGCATTTTAAAAAGTAAACTGCTGAGGCCCCCGTGGGTGGATTCAAACCACTAACCTTTCCTCTAGGAGTTGAGCACATAACCATCTGCACCACCCAGGGACTCCAACATTGGCTAGAAGGCACTTATTAAAGACAATTTGAGAAACAGGTTGTTATTATTGTTAGATGCTGTTGAGTACGACCCGTAGTCATTCTATGAACAACAGATCTGATCATTGTCCTGTCCTGCGCCATCCTCACACCTCCTGACACACTAGAGCCCATTGCAGCGGTCACTGTGTCACTACACCTGGTCAGGGGTCTTCTTCTCCTTACCAACCCTCTGCCCTTCCCAGTATCCGGTCCCTCTCCAAGGAATAGCCCCTCCTAGCAACATGCCCGAAGTATGTGAAGTAAAGCCTCACCATCTTTGCCTCCGAAGAGCACTCTGGCTGCACCCTCTCCAAAATGTATCTGTTTGTTCTCCTGGCCGTCCATGGGGTGTTCAGTGCTCTTCTCCAACCCCACAGCTCAAAGGCATCAATCCTTTTTCTGTCATCCTTATTCATTGTCCAGTTCTCAGAAGCATGGCAAATTATTGGAAAGATCATGGCCTCAATCAGACACCCCTTAGTCCTCAAACCGACATTCTTACTCCTCACTAATTTGGAGAGGTCTCTAACTGCAAACTTTCCCAGTGCAGTACATCTCCTGATTTCCTGACTGCTGGTACCAAGGGTGTTAACTGTGTATACAAGTGAGATGAAGTTGTTGACAGTTTCAATCTTTTCTCCATCTATTATGCTGCTGCCTATATGTCCAGTGGTGACAGTCTGCTTTCTTGACAGTGAGATACAATCCATACTGAAGGCTGCATTCCTTGACCTTCTGCAACAAATGCTTCAAGTCCTCCTCACTTTCAGCAAGCAAGGCTGTGTCATCTGCATAGCGCAGGTAATTGATGAGTCTATCTCTGATCTTCATGCCACATTTCCTCTTCATAGTGTCTAGCCTCTCGAATAATTTGCTCCACATACAGATTAACTATCACACTATTAAGAAATAGGTAGACAGTGAGAAACACAGGAACAAATAAAGACAGAAACAAATAGAAAGTTATATGACGGGGATAGAGAATAGGCAGATAAAGATGATAGAAGGTAGACAGACAGACTGCAAACAGATGATGGTGAGACAGATCATCAGTAGATGGAGATGACAGAAGACAGATGATGGATATGTAGGTAGATAAGGCGGCACTGCTGGCCTAGGGTGAGAAACTGCACTGCAAACCCAGAGGAACACAGTTCAAATCCACCAGCTGCTCTGTAGGAGCAAGTTGGGCAATCTACTCCCATGTGATTAAATTGCCACTGAAAACCTGCTGGAGGCTCAGCTATGGGTCGGTTCTGACTTGATGAGTAGGTAGGTAGGTAGATAGAAAGAAAGAAGAAAGAGAGAAAAAGGGGAGAAAGAGAAAGAGAAAGATGAAAGAAAGAGAGGAAAAAAAGAAGGAAGGAAGGAAGGAAGGAAGGGAGGGAGGAAGGAAGGAAAAGAGAGAGAGGTAGGAAGGGAGGAAGGAAGGAAGGGAGGAAGGGAGGAAGGAAGGAAGGACAGGAGGAAGGAAGGGAGGGAGGAAGGGAGGGAGGGAGGAAAAGAGGGGGGAAGGAAGGAAGGAAGGAAGGAAGGAAGGAAGGAAGGA